GGCTTTGCTCACAAGACTATTATCTTTTAAGCATCCCTAAAGTTCGTACTAATATGGGCATTTAGTTATGCATCTCCATTTGATTGGAATCAACTAGAAGATAAGTTATGCTTAAAAGAGTTGGTATCACTAAATGATTTTAAATGTATTTTAAAGGATCTATTTGTAGAGTCACCTGATTGTAAATGTTTTGAGTGATTTGTGTATGTTTCTGTGTATGTAAACGAATGTAATTTGTTTTATGTGTAACTAAATGTGCTGCCTATCTTGGCCAAGACCATCTTGTAAATTAGATTTTAAATCACAAGAGTTTTTAATTTCCTGGTTAAATAAAGGTAAAATAAAAATAAATAAATTGGAAAAGTCAAGTGCGGTTAGCTCTTCGTCTGTGCACTCTGGTTCAAAAGGTAGGGTAGATGGAAAAACTCCAACTTCAAAATCGTCCAACATCGTTGTTTTTACCTTTTTTTGTAAAGGGCATTTGACTTTCTTTGCACGCTTGCTTTGTAAACACTGGGTCGGTACTTCCGCCTACGTCATGAGTGACCTTTCCAACATAACGTAATGCGTGAAGTCGAGCTAATGCAAGACGAGCATTTGTGGTTAAAAAGTATATAAATTTAAGAAATCTTTAAGAAAATGAACAATTGTTTCTTTAGATAAGACCCTTATTCCTCGGCTGGGATCGTGTAGAGTCCTTTGAAATTGAAACTGCAATTTGGACATTCAGCCTGTTGGCCACCATTGAAGTCCATTATATGGAGAAAATTCCTGGAATGTTTTCCTCAAAAACCTTAATTTCCTTGCGACTGAAGAAAGAAAGACATGAACATCTTGGATGATATGGGGGGTGAGTAAATAATCAGGACATTTTTATTCTGGATGTGAACTAATCCTTTAAAGTCACCATGAAATGAAAATGGACAATTCTTATGGTTTTACGGAATATTGCAGTGTTTAATATAAATGTTTTATCTGTGCACAAAATTGTGTTGCACTTTATTTTACAGTGTGTGTACTTACATGTACTTACATTGTAATATAAGGTAACTAAACGGTTAAGGTTAGGTTTAGGTTCAGGGTTAGTACTTAGTTATTACCCAGTTATTGCAATTACTATAATAAGTACATAGTATGTACATGTGCAACAGGGACTACAAAAATAATGTGCTACTTATTTTTTACTCATGAAAGGAAAGTGACAACAATCCAATCAGTTTCTGACAGACAAAATCAAGTCCCACCCTACATTTTTTCATGTTCAAGAATTCTTTTTACTCAGATATGTCCTAACAGTAGAGAAAAGACGATCACAATTTCCGTTTCATGCCGACTTTAAGCGCACCTCTCCTCAGCACTTCAGCAGGCACCATTAAAACTCCTCGGAGATACACACACACACACACACAAAAACATCACGAAGGATTTCTCTCATTTATTTTCTCTAGCTTTATTTTATCTCCCTCCCTCTCTCAGTCATAACAGCAATCTAACCCTGAGTTTTTAGATAGTGATGGCTGGCTGCGTTTACTGTTCTGATAAAAACAATCAAACAATTGGATGAGCAAGTAATCTACACAGGTCACTGGCGCCCAGTGCTTACAACTGTAACACGGTTCAGAGGGATTACTGTATCCAGTCAGTCTGCGCTGTTGCTAGGCCTCATGTAGCTTTCTCTCTCTCTCACTCCTCCTCCTGAGCTTCCCCACACACGCTGCACACAGCCAAAAAAATGGCCAAATAATACATTCTAGCTCAAGAAAGGAGGAGACAGCTGCTGCACTCAGACAGAGAGGGCCTTGTCTGGCTCTTTCGCTGCACATAAACACATACGCAGAGATATAAACACACAAACACATTTGTTGTGTTCATAGCTCAATGCTGAGCGCCACGGTTAATGTGAGTCCTGATTGAGCCACAGTCCAGTGTGCTGCTGCTTCCTGAGATTAACATGGACAAATCAGAAAATAAAAGGTATAACAAGCGTGAGCTTATAAATTGATGAACCGACAAAAGATCTAATTTATGACAATTCATCCAAAAATGAAAATTCTGTAAATTTACTTGATGTTCAAAATATAATTTAGAATGACCATCTCATTTAAAACTGAGAATATTCACAAAAGAGATGTTATCTGATGTTCTGTTTGTTACTTTTCATTCAATTACAATGAATGCTGAGGACTAGAAGTCCCAAAAGTATTCAAAAACACCATAGATGCATCATAAAAATAATTAATATGGCTTGTGTGCCTAAGTTGTCTAATGGCGTACAATGGCTTCATGGAAGAAACAAAATTAATTTTACGTTTTTACATCCACCATTGACAGTCTCGCGTAGCCAGACCTTCAGACTGACAGCAGAAGGACTGGGAACCTTGGTTGCTTTGACTGGCCAAGGACTAGGGGTGGGCGATATGACCAAAATCTTATTTCACGATATGAGAAATTTTATTTCACGATAACGATATGTACCTCGATATAGCTATTTTTATTTTATAATATTATATAATATATTTTCTATTTTTTGTTATTAAACTTAAGAAAAAGAAGCAAATTACAAGCACAACAGAACAAATAAATATGAAATAAACTTTTATTCAGCTACAGTAGGCTAGGTTTATTTAACATGTAGTAAGAAATATTACAGAAATTGAATAAAGTGTATAAATAAAACACTGCATAGTCTGCACTGTATCAGTCAAACATGATTAACATTAATAATGACAGACAGCAGCAGGTAAATAAGGTGTATATCAGTCAAACATGATTAACATTAATAATGACAGACAGCAGCAGATAAATAAGGTGTAAACTGTTTGACATTTATTTAACATATAACCGACTGTGTTTACTTGAATACTCCACACGACGGGCATTATGACGTTACTGTGTGCGTATTTGAGCATTCAAGCACAATAAAACATGAAAGAGATTTGTGTTCGCGATCGCATGCTGTCGAGAGACGGGCTTTCAATGCGCGTGCTTCGGCTGTGTGTCAGTCAGCGCGAGCACCGCATTGAGTTCTTTTTCACTGCTTATTGCACTTAATAACTCTACCAAGTGCGTCCCTCTCTTTATTTTCTCATTCATGCATGTTTCCTTATCACTCAAAAGGTGTATAACGTTTAAGCAGTACTGTGTTACGCAGATATATTTGCATACCACGGAATACACGATATAGCAAAATCTTTAACGATAGACACTTTATTTCACGGTAACGATATATACCGTCATACCGCACAGCCCTAACAAGGACCGCCCAAGAGGCCATTTTACAGACAGGTAAAGCAGCCAATCATGTTTTGTTTTTTGTGCCGCGTCATATTTAGGGGCGTGGAAATGTAACCACAATAACAGAGCGGTGTGTAAAACTCTTGGACGTATTTTAAAAAGTCTATGTTGCGAACTTTACATATTTCACATACTTCTGAAAATCCAGCGTTTAGTTGATCCTGATAAGCGCTTATTGTCACAGTTGTAAACACGATGGCTTTCTTCTTCGATAAGGGAGTTTGGCGTTACGGCATCTTTGTTTCCAGGCGGAATGTTAAAGAACGCGACACACACGTCTTCCGGAAATCCGATGATGACTTCGAAACTCCTGAAGTGTTTCCAATTTTGTGTGCCATATGCATCAGGCATTCAGCCAACGGTCTGTGGAAATGACATCTGAGACTGAGGCTACCATTGACATTCAATTAATTAATTAATCATTCGAGTCAGCTCTTTTCAATAAATCAGTTAATCTGATTCACAAAGCCATGAATGATTCATTCATGAATCAGACTGACATAGAATTCCTATTCACTGCTCACCAAGGCTGCACTTATCTGATCAAATATACAGTTAAAACAGTAATCTAGTGAAATATTATTGCAATTTAAAATAACTGTTTTCTATTTGGACATATTTTAAAATGTAATTTATTCCTGTGATGCGAAGCCGAATTTTCAGCATCATTACCCCAGTCTTCAGTGTCACATGATCCTTCAGAAATCATTATAATTTGCTGATTTGCTGCTCAAGAAACATTTATTATTATGAATGTTGAAAACAAGTGTGCTACTTAATATTTTTGTGATATATATTTTTCATTTTCTAGTCATCATTCTTTGATGACTAGAAAGTTCAAGAGAACAGCATTCATTTGAAATAGAAATCTTTTGTAACTAAAATGTCTGTACAGTCACTTTAGATGCATCTCTGTCAAATAAAAGTAATAATTTCTTTAAAAAAAAAAACTTACTGACCAAACTTTTCACTTTTTGAAGCATCAAAGCTCCAGTTCCTATTCTTTATAACTGCATGGCATAAAAAGGTAAATTCCAGTAAATTCTTCAAAATTCCTCCTTTTGAGTTCCATAGAAGAAAGTCATAAAGGTTGAGTGACATAAGGGGGAGCTAATGACAGATTTTTTTTAATGAACTGTTCCTGTTCCCTCTAAAATGGCTCCATCATGCTTCCAAAGAAAAGCATTATTTAAACATAAAAAGTACCAAAAATTACCAAAGATGGTTTAGCAGATAACCCCATGGCATTAGCTTGTTTTTTGGATATACCATAGTACCATAGCAAATACTCTGGGAAGTAAAACACTCTCAGAATTCACTGGTAGTCAATCAATATGCTTTTTTCAATTACATATTTGTAAACTTTGACATTTGCTAATCCTAACCTCATCTTGAACATTTGTTGACTGTCCAATGGTGCCACCACAGTACGTTTTATCAAAATTGACCAATCCATGACCAGAGGTTGCAGTGTTTTAGTCTGAATCCGACAGAAAAATACACACAAAGGCTGATTTCAGGACAGGAGAGAGATCAGTACTCAGCAAAAGAGCCTGGAGGTGTTAGGGATATCTGACAAAATGTCCAAATAGCATGTGTGAATGATGAAATCTGCACCAAAACATCAAATAATGCTCTCGTGGTTAATATATCAGTGCAATAGTAAAACAAACTTTAGTGTCTGTGTGCACGTGCATCCGGGTTACCTTGAGAGAGTCGAAACAGGCGATGACGCGGCCGTTCTCCACGTGGCAAGTGCGAGAGGGGTGAGCGAACTTGCATTCAGTGTCCGAACGCGAGCAGGTTCCTCGCTGGAACTCTCTGCACACCTCCAGCGTCAGCCACTTGGTGTCGCGACCCATGGTCACATTGACGGCCATGGCGGTCCCTCGGCGAGCGGCGGGTGAGCGGAGGGCTGGGGTGGGGCAGCCAGGCGTGATGAAGCACAAAGGCTGCAAAAAACGAGCACAGTGGCAAGGAGATCCTCAGACTACCGGTACTATCAAGAAATGAAAACCAAACTCTCTTATGAACAGGAAGGGAGCATAGTCTGTTGATCAGCCAGTGAGGAAGTATGACGAGAATATGAGATCAGTTTAAAGTCAGGTAGGGAGAGCGATGAATCAAGCGTGCTGAGGTGGAGTAGGTCAATGTGACATGCTGTGGTGCATCTTCGGCTGCCGTCCAGGAAAACGAGGCATTAAAAGTAGAGTAGAGCGGCACTTTGTATTTGTCTGCAGTGGTCGCCCCACTGTCTAGACTCACCCTCCGGAGCTCTGGGTTTAAAATAGCCCTCTTGCATTGATGTAAAACGGACTTTCTCTAAATTTAGGCTTCCGAAACCCCCTGCCCTGTTGCCATAGGCGCAGCAGTCCCTAAAGATACTCGCATGTCTGGGTCACAAGGGATGGAGAGATTGCAGAAGTAAAGAGAAAGACACTTTGAGAACCCAAAAGGGAAACTAATCGACAGGCGTCCTTGTATTAAGAGGTGAAATGGCGAGCAGGCAGAGCTGGAATCGAGGAACAGGCAAATGGGTTGATTGACTGTCAGGGTGAAATATAGCCCGAGCCAAGGCCAAGCGCACACGCACGTGCTCAAGTCAGCGGGGAAGAGAGCGCTCCGAAGCGGACACAGAGAAGGGCTTCCGCAGCATCCAGATGAGGCACTTTATGGTGATGTGAGTCTTCTTTCACTTGAATCGCTTTCTCATCCCTCCTGCTCTCCCTGCGTCCCTTTCATCGCACTGTGACGTGTCCTCGCACACTTCTAAGAGAGTCCTTTGTGGCAGGAGTCCTGTATTTGCGAAAAGACACAAAAACAAAAGCAACAAACTCAGTTAAAACAGCTTGTCCCGTTCAGAACAGCCAAAATACTTCGCAAAAGAATAAAAGCGATAAAAGTACAAAACAACAAAGGAAATGCCTGAAGCCGCAGCTGTTTATGTCACAAACCTGTAACTGGGGAATACAGAGGTGAGCGACAAACAGAGAGAGGCTGAAAGCGCATGGCAGTAAGCGCGAGTGAGAGAGTGCACAAGAGGTAGAGGAGGAGTGCAGACGGGAGGCAGGCAGCAATGCAAAGGAAAGGGCAGGCTGTGTCTTGATTAAGAGATACAGGGAGGGAGGGAAAAGAGGGAGGAGGCAGGGAAAGGGACAGAGAGAGAGAGAGCACATGGGAGACAGCAACGTCACTTTACGACTCTGGGGCAGATGGAAGCGACAAAGTCAGCACAAAACAAAGCAGCGAGGCCATAAACTATGCGCCGATCGCACTCTCTCAGAGTTCGGGATCTAAACGTGGCTTTTGTGATTGAAAAAGGAAGTAGAGCAGCCGACAGGAAGGACAAATCCCCATAGCTGCAGCTGCTGAGCACGGAACACTGCAACAGCCAATCAGCTGCGATGCAACCTGGCAATGTGGAACGGCCAATCGGGAGGAGCCTGATATATCGATCGCTAGTCTCCCCACCCTCTTTGTCATTGCATTGCTCCTTGGATGAATCCGAAGGAGAGTGGCTCTCTAGCTTTCCCGGAGCGGTATCGGGGTACAGGCGATCACAGGTGGGATGATGAAGGGAAAAGAAAGGAGAAGTGAATGGATGGTTATCGCATTCATTCTACACGGGAAGGTGTGCGGGGTGGAGACGGGGGGGCAGTGCCACAAGGGGATGTGAGTGGGTGTCTTGGGTGGGTCTGACAGCTGATATGCCATCCCTTGAGAGAGAGAGAGAGAGAGAGAGAGAGAGAGAGAGAGAGAGAGAGACAGTACAGTGAAGAATAATCAATGGCGTGATGACCAAGCACACTTGAACCGATGCTGGAGGGAGGGATGGATAAACGAATAAAAGGACAGGAAAATGAAAACAAATAAAGCAGAGGTGAACGAGCAGACAGTGAGGGGATTAGAGGAGAGGTTAAGGCAGATAATATCTGTCCCCGTGTCTCACAGCGACAGACACAGTTGGAGGAGGCGGCAGGTGGAAGGGGTGGGGGGGATTGGTGAGCGCGTGATCGGAGCACGCAGACAGAGGGTCCAGAAGGAGAGCAATGCGGTGAGGGAGATCAGGAGAGAAAATGAGTGAGAGAAGATGGAAATTGAATTAATGACACCCACCTCCAAATACAAGCACGAAGGCACTAAATGCAGAGCAACATAGCACCGTGCAAAGCAGAAAGTCGGTTTTACAGCAGGCTGACGTGTGCACCCTCCCCCAATATCAGCCCTACAGTAAGATCGATGAAGACGCCCCCCCCCGGGGAACGCGGACCTGCAATGAGCTGTTCGTCAGCACTGAAGTTAGCACATCTCTGTCTCAGAGCAGAGCAGCATGGCACTCAGCCACACCAAAAAGCGAAAGGCCAATTATCTCATTTATATGTAGGCAGGTGAACGGAGAGGTGATCCGTGAAGAGAACATGTGGCCGTGACGTCAGCTGCTGCGTCTGAGTCCCTCCGCAGATGCCGCTATTACCCTAATGTGTAGTAAAAGCATTGCCCACCCGACGACTGCTAATCCCCCCTCGCGATGATAATCATCGTTATTTCCCAAACTGGAGGATTTTTATCTTCGCGGCTTGTAGAGCTAATGATCACACACAGCCCGAAACAATGGGACTGGTTATAAATAGATGTCTCAAACTGATTTCCCAATGTGATTAAGTAAATTATTAATGCAAAGTAGACAGAGGAAACACAACTTGAGTTGGTGTACATCTGGCCTATAGTTATTACAAGCTGTAGTTACTGTACAGGCATAAAAGCAGATAACGCTGGAAGAAAGGTGTATTGTTTATCTAGATGGATGCCTGAATGAAAAGTGAAAAAGCAAAGCAAAAGTTTTGGGAAAGCTACTTTGACAGTAGCTTGCCAAGTTTACTTATAACTTAAACTAGTTAAAGTACAGTCAAGATATAATTCTATCGAAAAGGTAGTTACACTACAAGTGACTAAAAACAAGCTAACTACATTCAAGCTAATTAAAGGGGCAATATCTTTTTAAATATATAACTACATATAAGTTAACTATATATAATTTATTTATTATTTATAATATAATTTATCATTTAATATCTAGCATGAAAAGATGAAGGTTTTTGAATGAATGAGGGTGACAATATTAAATTTTAGATAAATTCACACTAAATAAAGCTTTAAAAACAATTAATAAGGGTGCACAATATATTGGGACCATTTGGATTATTGGCTTATATTTAATTTTTTTTATTTAGTTTATCTTTATCTGTCTATAGGTCAGTTTTGGATATTTACAGTCACAATGAAACTGAAGCAGGGATTTTTTCTTCTGCAATGTGAAGTACATTAACAAGAGTGAAATGGATTATTGAAAAAGAAAGAAACGTGTAGGTTGTGGACTTTCCACTGGTTTTTGTTTGGATGGAGGCTGATCTGAATGCGAGTTTGCAGTCAATTGTAAGAAAGGTGCAAACTAATTGATTGGGGAAGTCCAGCATACATCACCAGAGAAACGCCTGTCAGTTCACTGGAAGATCGATCTATGACATCTTGATTAAAAATTACAAGGTAAATTTTTTAACGAAACATACATGGATGAACTATTCACAATGAGATCGGTAGCATGCATTTAGAAAATAGGGTGAATTTTCATTTTAGGACGAATTTAATTCTTGATGCTCATTTCCATCAATTTTAGATAAAAAAAAAAATTGATTACTTTAATTTTAAGTGATCATTAGATTATGGTAAAGGTAATCTAAATGTAAAAAATAGGGGAAATGAGCATTTACAGTTAAAAATGTAATATCAGAAAAAAAAAAAATGATGATTGATAAGATACTGATATATCATGCACCCAGAAATACAATACCAGAAATTGCAATCTGTTTATTTATGGTTTCATAAACCATCTGAACGATGCAAGAATGAATCAGAATCTGAATTGCCTCAGCTTGCTCAGGCTGAGCATGCAATACATTGTGATATTAAAAACAGCAATGCAGCGTTTTTAACGCGTGTAGTGGAAAAACTAACTTGTTAATGGAAAAGCCACACAATTTTGAAAAAACGCTACTAACACACTAATGAAAAATATATAGGCCTAGGCTAGATTAGATACAGCAAAACTTGCACTAAACCGGGAAAAAGAAAAAAAAAAAAAAAAAAAAAAAAAAAATCTGATAGATTTCAGATAGAATGAATATCTCTAATGCACAGACAAGAAGACAAATAAGCTTGTGCTGGACACTGATAACGTCAGCTATATGTAGTACAATTGTTATACAGGCTCGTGTAAGTGCTGGTTGTGTTTACTTTGATGTTCTACAGCAGGAAGGTGGCTGGGTGGAGGATATACAGCATGGCATACGTGTGTGTGTGTGTTTCTGGCGCAGATCTACAAAAGAGGCTGTAAATATCAGAAGTGTGGAGGTGACGAGTTTGTATTGTTTCTACAAGGTCACTGAGTCGTATACACATCGCACTTGTAGCAGTGTCCTTCAGGCGCCGCATGTGCATGCACAAGAATCAAGGAGAAAGTCAATAACTGGACTGTATAGCAGAAGACAAGGCGTTTGAGAAACAAATATCTTTTAACAGCACTTGGCTGTGGTTTGAAGACACTAGTGTGCTGTTCGAGGCCGTCTCAGTTTGAGAAGTCAACAAAAATCACACCTACTGTCTGTCTGTGAGAAATAACATTCTTCCTGCAAAATTAAATATGCTTGAAGTTGGCATGAAATTCAATCTATTTTGTAAATGTATGTTATTGATCTTATTGTGAACGATTCTTCTGTGCATGTTTTTATAAATGGTTTTGACATCAAAATATTTAATCAAAAAGTCATTTTGATTAAACCCTACACCCTACAAGAAAATCTCTGTCGCTACTTCAGTTTCATCATGATTTTAAAAAGATAAATAAAGATTCTGACAATTTATTCACCTTCATGTTGTTCCAAACCTATGTGACTTCTTCTTTGGAACGTAAAATAATCGTGTTAAAAGTCATACGGGACTAAAACAACATTCGATTTCTTTGCCTATCATTGTACGGACAAAAAACAGACATTTCTCAAATTATCTTCTGTTGTGTTCCACAGTACAAAAAAAGTCATACAGGTTTAGAAAGACATGAAAATCTTTTACTCACCATCGTTTTTGGGTGAACTATCCCTTTAAAACCAGAAAACTAGTCTCCAGAGTGTGTTGTCTATTCGAGACACTTGCTGAATGAGCTAATCTTAGATCTTGGAATTATCGATTATACAGATCAATATGACAACAGCTGCCCTAGGTGTAACAATTACAGTGATTACTACAGTAAATACCGTTTAGTGTTCATTTGAGGTCTGTTTTAACTGTTTTCAAGAAGTCTTCCACTGTAACTCATGTACTGAATTGACAGAATCAAGCATTTATGTGTAATAGGAGGAAACAAACAGACTACAATACAGTAAAAACCTGCTGACCAATATAATTTAATGGCCAACACAAAACTCAAGGCTTGATGAAGCAATATTCTGCAGACGTGTCTTTTTTCAGGTCCCAACGGAGTGCAACATTTTGCTCATGTAAATAAACCAAAGGCCAAGAGGCCTTTCGTATATTTTATTTTCATGGAAGCTCACAGTCTTTGGGACATGACTCACATGTGAATGGGGAAAATTGAACAATGCGGCACTTCCATGCTCATAATCATAACTAAAGCTGATCTTGAAATGCTGGGAGTGTGACGACAAGCATTTTCAATACGGGCTGCCGCCACTGCCACTCCGACAGCATTTGGCGCTGAGTTCCCAAATAAGCCCAGCAAAGCG